AAAACAGTCCACAAGTAGAGAGGCTGCTAGCCAAGTGAAAGCACTCCATTGCTAAGAGTGGTGTAGCAGGTTTCTGTGTCCTTCCAGCAATGCCCTGCCTGCCTGCATGATGTGAGCAGTGACTGCATGAGGCTGTGACTTGCTCTCTCCCTCTCTCTCCTCCTCTCTCTCCTCCTCTCTCTCCCCCTCTCTGACTTTAGTGCCCCAGGTCTGCACTCACGTTGTACTCTTTTCCTACCATTTTGTTCTGATTTCCTCTGTGGGATTAGTGTTTTTATCTGTACTGCAGGACACTGAGAGAAACATTTTAAACCACATTTGCCAGGAAAAGTCCCTTCCTGCTTGGAATGTGAAGTGAAACACAACACAGTTTGCAGAGATAGAGCAGGCAGGATGATTACAGAGAGATGTCCTTCTAGCAGCCCCAGGGAGCTGGAGCCCTTTGGTTGCTGTTTCACCACTTCTTTCCCCTTACCTTGGCCCACAAAGTCCCTTGTTTGCACAGAGACTATCTCTGCAGATCTTCTGGATAACATCTAATCTGGTTGTCCTCACAAGAGCACGTACTGGGATGAGAAGTCACCTGTTTATATGGTTCTTGTTTTCCAAGACTCTTGCTTATTCTCTGCATTTGCCTGGGGTCTCTACCCTAAGATTACTATGGAACCCCCACACACCAAAACCACCCCACAGCATTTCAGAGTTGCTATGAATTATACTTTTCAATATTCACACTTTCATTTTCCCAAACATCTGCTGGCTCATAGGTGGGCTTACCTCCAAAGTCCCAGTGTGGCAAGGTGTCTGGAGTCTGGATTCACTTCCCTCTTCTTCTCCCTTCTGTATCCCTCCCTCTGGCCATCAAATTGTTTGCCTTGCTATGCTGCTTTTTCTATCATTCTAAAGTTGCTACCAACATATGTGAAAACAGCTTATCTGAGAAATAACACTAGCTACCATTTATTGAGTGCTTACTGCATATTCCTTTTGCAGTGGCAAATGCACTAAGAAGTCAGCTGGCTGAGGCCTGCCTCCAGTCTTCTGATGGCTTAATCATACATGCTGTGTATGACCCTCAGCAAAGCATTAAATTTCACTGAGATTTGGGAGATTGAGAACATTTCAAATATAAGGCATAACTAGAGCAAAAGCCCTCACAGCAGACAATCAGGAAGCTCTTTTAAAAAAAAAAATTAGTTGTAAATGGACACAATACCTTTATTTTATTTATTAATGTGGTGCTAGGGATTAAACCCAGTGTCCCACACATGAGAGGCAAGCGCTCTACCACCAAGCCACAACCCCAGCCCCAATCAGGATGCTCTTACTTGTACACATCACACACTTTCCCTGGCCCACATTCATGCAACAGAGTCATCTAGTCACTTCCCAGGGTTCAATTGGAAGTGACAATAATTCCTGTGCTTTGTGGTAGGCATTGTTGTGGATGCCAAGGAGGATAAGGGCCATGTTGGAAAAGGAAATATGTGTGAGAGACTTGAGTAGGATAATGGCCTTGAGGAGGAGTGGTATAAACATTGTAATTGTTTTCTTGTCACACAACTAATAAATGCTATCTTTCCTCTTTCAGGTTTTTCAGGGAAATCAAGACTCCTTCACACCTGTGGTGAACTCTCTAGACCCACCATTACTGACTCGCTACCTTAGAATTCACCCCCAGAGCTGGACACACCAGATTGCCCTGAGGTTGGAGGTTCTGGGATGTGAGGCCCAGCAGGTCTACTGAGGTGCTCATGACAGTCCCTGTTGGTCCCCTCTCTTCCCTTGTTAGCTCCAGGACAATTCATAACTTAAGGCCAATAACCCTCTCAGGCTTCTGGGTTATATACTACCCTACACTGTCTATGGTTCCATTATTTTTCTATGAATTTAAACTATACAGTCCTACTAGATACTGCCCTGAAGCCATTTATATGAAGACATGTAAGTGACAAATAACTCGGAAAACCCTAGAAAGCTGAATCCAAGACTAAGAAATAACTAGATTTACACTATAGAATCCTCAAAAAGGTTGTGGGGAAAGCAGTCTGTGACTTTGAGTAATTCTTGAAATCAAGGTAAATGTTAATGTTAAACCTAAAAAAAACTATTTGAGAAACTGTCTGGATTGTTTGAGAAGTAGTTTAATCCTACTCAGCACTACCAGAAGCCTGGAGTTTGATCTTTTGGGGAAGGATCAATGAACTGGAAGATACCAGACATGACTCAGAGGTCCCAGAAGGTTACAGAGCCTGCTCTCACCCCTGGAAGATCATGGCCAAGTACCAAGTTGGGACAGGTTACGAAGTCTGAATCCCTTATCTCAAGGAAGGTCAGGTCTGAGGTACAAATTATGTACCAGTGAACTCCATGAAATCAAGCTAAAGCTGCATATCATCTGAAATCAAAATTTTGTGTAGTTCTTTCCTTTGTCCTTCCTGCATTCTCTTACAGTTTTCCTCTGAGCACATGCCTTCAATAAATACATGCACTGGAATCTTCATCTCAGAATCTGCTTCTAGTCACCCCAAATTTAAAACAGTCAGTTATCCAGTTCTGAGCACTCATGTTGGTATTTTAATTGGATTTTTATTGAATTCACTGATTAATATAAGGAATGTTGAAATCTTTATAATAGAGTCATTCCCTTGAAAACCAGATTGGTAGGCAGCCTCTAAAATGATCCCAATGATTTCTGATTTCTGGTATTCATATTGTGCTATTTCCTGCCTACTACTGTCAGCTGGACCTGGTAACTCACTTCTAATCAATAGAAAAACTGATGGAATGCTCTTTCTGAGACTAGGTTACAAAAGACTGTGACTTCCTTTTTGCTCAGCTTCTTGTAATCTCTCACATGGAGTCCTCAATCTTGGGTAAACCAGTGTCATGTTGTCACCAATACTATGGAAATGCCCACATGGCAAGAAAATGATGTCTTCAGCCAAAAGCTAGTGAGGATATGAGGTCTGATTACAGACTCATGAGTGAGCTTGGAAAGATATTTCCTCAAATTGAGCACTGACATAACTTGATTGAAGCCGTTTGGGATATTCCTGATCCAACTAAACTGTGAGACAGTGCTTGCTGTTTTAAGATATTAAGGTATGGGTGAATTTTTAATGTTGCAATAGGTTGATATTGGTACCTGGAAATGAGGTGTTTCCAAAAAATAACTACAAACATGAGAGTTCCTTTGAAACCTGGAAGTAGGTGGAGTACAATAACAGACTGTTATTAAAAATCTGGCTGGGTGCAGTGGCACACGCCTGTAATCCCAGCAGCTTGGGAGGATGAGTCAGGAGTATCATGAGTTCAAAGCCAGCCTCAGCCAAAGCGAGGCCGTAAGCAACTCAGTGAGACCCTGTCTCTAAATAAAATACAAAATAGGGCTGGGTATGTGGCTCAGTGGTTGAGTGCTACTGAGTTCAACCCCCAGTATCCCCCCCCCAAAAAAATCTAGATTTTGAGGATACTACCACTGAAGGTTTAGAAAGAAATATGGAGCATGTCATCAGAATCTGGATGAGAAAGAATTCTTGTGTAATTAAAGAAAGCACCTTCAATAACATGGAAAGCATAAAATGTGTATAATGAGCTGGCTGATCTAGCTAATGAGTTAACTACTCTTGCATTTTAAACTGGCATTACACAATATGAACAGTAAAATTCATGCTAATTAATTTAAATTGTTAGATTTCTTTACTACTGTTAGCTTACAGATGAGTAATGAAGGGCTAAAAGGAAAAAGAATAACTAGTCACCTTATCTTTTTCTTTCCTTCTATGTCATCAATTTCATCAAAATAACAGGAATAAGAAAGTAAATGATAAGGGTCTTCGGTTATTTGTGTCCTGGAATGCCATTGTCTTCTTTCTGGTTGAAATAGAAAGTGGCCTCTTGAGACTGCAGAAAGAAGAAAGCATACTTTCTTAATACTCCCTTTTGAATCTCACTGAACTCCCACATTCATGGGCATTGTAAATACCATACAAGTAGAGTGGCAAAGAATGGAAGGAACCTCTATACTACATTTATTTAGTGTGTTCATGCACATGCTTCATTGTCCTATCAAACCTCACTTAAAGATACAAGAATAAAGATAAAAATTACTAAAAATTTTCAGATAGTGATATGAGAACATTAAAGTAAGCATGAAGCCTTTCAGGGTATGGTCACCTGAGCCTTCAAATGGCATGTGAGTGCAACCTCTTCAAAAGCTCTCCTCCCCCATGCCAGATCCACTCAGCTAATCCACTCCAAACTTCCTGAGCTACAGAAACTATAAGAGTCAATTTTTATTTTCAGTTGCTAAGTTGGGGCTACCTTTTCATGCAACAATAGATAATTTATATAGTAGCCATATTCTTTTTATACTTGAAAAGAAGCACAAAATACCAATTTTTAGCTTATATACATTCTCACTATCTATTGTCTTAACTTATGGGCATAAGGTAATGACCAAGTTTGCAGGTTCTCCAGCTCTTTCTGGATCCTTAAACTTTTCCAAATCCTAGGAAAGGTGTGTGTTTAGCTCTTTGATGAAGTAGATCAACTTCTCATTCATAGTACCCTAAGCTTCCAACTTTGCAACTAATGCAGATTTTAGCCCATCTTATGGGCTCCTGCTTGTACCTGCAGACTGCCAGTGTGTATTTTTTTTTCTTAAACTTCACCCCATCTTCCATTCTTATCAATCGTGTGGACTTTAAGCCCTAGCACTCAGAAGAGAAGGGTTAAATGTTCCCCCAAAAGGTACTTTTCTTCCATCCTAGCTGTGTTCCCGATGAATGGCCCTGCAGCCTCTCTGGATATCTCTGCCCCTTTGTAGCTGCTTAGATGTCCCACTGTGTTCCATGAGGAGCCCCACCTGTCCATGACTAAATACAAAGTCTGTGGTTAGCCAGCAGGACACTACACATGTGTGAGCCTACCATTCTGTCTATAGAAGCATACTTCATCTATCATTGGATCAGTCCATGTACTGACTCCTCTTATGCTGCAGCACAAGTCCTAATAAGGCTTCTTTCAGATGTTTTTATCTTGTCTATTCTTGATTTCCATCTTGAATAGAGCAGGCTAAGCTGATGGCACTAAGAGCTGGTAACAGTAAAGCCTGCTGGTACTGAAACAGGCCAGCACTCAGGGCAAGGAAAAGTGAGAACAGCTGACAGCCAGAGAGCAGTGGGGACTGGTAGGGAGCAATGGACAACTGTGGGAGCTGCTAACTCTGGTTGCTGGAAGAGTTCCATACAGCTGCCAATAGCTGCTGTTTCCATTTGCTAAGAGACTAGTAGGGAGAGTTGCAAACACAAATGGATCTACACTTTGGTTATTTGTGATTTCTATCCTAATTGAGCAAAAGAACCCTCAAATGAATGGTGACAGCATCAGACACAGAAGCAACAGCTTCCTATAGACTGTAAAAACAAGTTGTACAATTCTATAAGGTCAAATTCTTATAAAGAAATCATATATATATGTATATGTATATATACACACACATAGTTGGCTCTTTTTTTGATAGGATTCTGATTTTTAATTTTTGCTAATTCTTCCATAGAATCTTTTTTTTTTTTTTTTTTTTTTTTTTTGGTACCAGGGATTGAACTCAGGGGCACTCAACCACTGAGCCACATCCCCAGCTGTATTTACTTTTTAGTTGTAGTTGGTCATAATATCTTTATTTTATTTACTTATTTTTTTGTGGTGCTGAGGATTGAACCCAGGGCCTTGCTCGTGCTAGGTGAGCACTCTACCTCTGAGCCACAACTCCAGCCCGTTACATGGAAAACTTTAAAAAAAAATAATTTATGGGCTGGGGTTGTGGCTCAGGGGTAGAGCATTCACCTAGCACGTGCGAGGCCCTGGGTTCAATCCTCAGCACCACATAAAAATAAATATGTGAAATAAAGGTATTGTATCCAACTTCAACTAAAAAGATAAATATTAAAATAATAATTTATAAGCATCTGTTATATATGTTATGAAATTCAATTTATCTGTCATTAATATTTTATCTTTTTACACTGTTTTGCTGCATGAAAGGTTTACATTTTTATATGTTAAGTTTATCTGCATATTTATTTATGGCTTTGGATTTTATCATGTGCTGTGGTATGGCTCTTTATTGTCCCCCCCCCCCAAAAGCTCATGTTTTGAAAGCATGGTCACCACTACATCCAAGAATTTTAAGCTATGATTAGGGCTCTGATCTTGTTAGTGGATTAATCCATATGTTGGATTAATCAGTCGATAGTTCAATCAAATACTGAAGGATTGGTCATTGTTCGCTGGGGCATACCCTGAAAGGGTTTATCTAGTTTCTTGCCTTTTCCCCTCTCCCTCTCCTCTCCTCTCTCCTCCCCTCCCCCCTCCCCTCTTCCTCTTCCTCTTCTTTCTCCCCTCCTACTCTTCCTCCTCTTCTTCCTTCCTTCCTTCCTCTCCCCCACATTCTCCCTCCCTCTCCCTCTCTTTCCCTCTCTTCCTTTTTCCCTCCCTCCCTCTTCCTGGCTGTCATAAGCTCAGCAGCTTTGTTCCACTATGCCTTTCTGCCATGATGCTCTGTCCCACCTCAGATGTAAAGCAGTGGAGTCAGCTGACCATGGACTGAGACCTCTGAAACTGTGAGCACAAAATAAACTTTTCCTACTCTAGGTTGTTCTTATCAGGTATTTTGGACAGTGATGAACAGTTAACTAACACAACATGCTTAGAATATATTTTTCTATACCAAGATTATAAAAATATCCATTCATATTTTATCCATATAGTCCTGACTCCATATAGAATTGTTTTGCAGCACTGGGGATCAAACCCAGGACCTCATTCATACTATGCAAGTACCATACACCCCCAGCCCCATATGATACGAAAGGCCATATTTATCGTGTATCATGTATTAAAGTCCCATATATACACTATTATAAGATGTAGCAAATACCATGTGGCAAACAAAATGTCTTAGAATTCTTCAAGCCTAAGAAAGTATAACTACAGTAAGAATGGTTTTCAGTATCAACCCAGATGTGCATGCAGGGATAGAAAAAAGATGTCTGGGTGCTTAGCTGTTGAATAGAGGCTGGGGGAGGGTCAAATACAGTTGATGATATAATAAAGAGTGGTAGAATTCTGTCTGGAACTCCATAGGCCTAAAGGAAAGACTCTGGCAACCTTCTTAAGACTGCTGTACTCTTGAGTGCTGAGGTCCAATTCTATGGCTTCTCTGGATACCTTGGTGTTCAGTTAACTTTCAGGTAAGTGGCTCCCCACCAGGCATGATTAAGGTATATCAGCAAGTAAATGAATGTATCACTTATGAATGTCTTTGGTAATAGAAAGCCCAAAATATAATGGATCAAATAGGGGTTTATTATTATTATAGTAAAAATGAAGGTGAGTCCAAATGATCAAGAGAAGACTATGAAGTCAGAGAAGTAACTAGGATCATAATCTGACCTACAATTTAATGAGATCTGTTTGGCTTCTCAGTAGAGAAGGGAGTGAAGGGAGGCAGAGATGATGGTGGGTACCAGTAGAAGTAGTGTTAAGTAGAAGGATTCTGGATATATTTTATAGATAAATCTGACAGGATTTTTTCTGGTAGGTAAGGTGAGGAAGTGAAAGAGTCAAAGATGATGCACAAGCACTGGCTTGAACAGATGAAAAGTTTCCCATTGATTAAGTTTTGGAAGGTTCATAGGGGAGCAGTATAGACATCTGACCTGACCAGTATAGTAAGGTTTGTTTTGCTTTGATGTTAGAGTGGGAATACATTTTACTTTGGACCACTGAGCATGTTCAGGATTCATCCACATAAGTCAGTGAATTATCTGTGTGTGAAAGGTGGGAAGCTTTTTTTCAATAAGAACTAACCACCCCCCCCCAAAAAAAAAAAAGAAGAAGAACAACTAAACCCTTGCTTTCTAACTTTTCAGACAAAGCTGCTGTGGAAAGAACTAAGGACAAAGAAATTTCCCTTTGGCAGAGTAAGAGTCCATGGAGCCCCAGAAGCTGCTGAGCATTGTATTTCTGTTGTGTTCACTGACTTGCTCCTTGTTGGCGACAGTAGCTTCCCCTCCTTCGCCATTATATGATTTTGGAATTCAAGAAAACGCAGGACTGAAACCACACTCAAGGGGTGTGTTTGCTGTTAGGATGAATGTTCCTATCTTCGTAAGACATAAGATTCATGTTGCAGGTCAGGAAGAACTGATTTCATGTTTTGAAATAATGTTCACAAGAAAGCTAACTATACTGGTTTGGTTAAGTTTAGTTTAACAAGCATTAACTTAACTAGTTTCTACCAAGCCCTTTGTAGGTTAGACAAAACCATAGATGCTAACCTTCCATGGAATTTAACAAATGCTCCCAAAGAACATGGGGATAATCAAAGTTGTTTGGGCAGGCATACGGGAAGATTTGACAAGGAGGTTAAACTTGAAATAAGCAAACATGATGGTCCACTGATCTTCCTAGAGGCTCCCAAAGCCATGCTTTCAACATGCATGCTGCAGCTCCAGTTCTGGAAAGGGTTGTGGTGACTGGTGGACTTTTTCAGCTAAGTGTGAAGCCACTTTTGTTTTCCCCTGCCTCTTTCCTTAGAGTCAAATCACAATATACTCACTCTTCTGTCCCCATTTTCTAAAGGAAATATCCAACATCTCAAGCTTTACTTTGATCAGCAGATACCCCCAAAGTTTCTCTTTCCAGTTGCCCTAGCCTTTTCCTCCTCTACTCCCAGGGCTGCTGGGTTTCTCTTTTCTCTTCCTGGGATATTAATTCCCCCAGGCCTCCTGAAGTACTCCAGAACTCCCAGACATACTCTGGGAAACAATACGTTAATGAAGATTTTCATTTTCTTGTGTTCAGTTTATGCTCCTCTTTCACAAAGTACCCCATAAATTCAACCCTTCAGATATGTAGGATAGAGATTGATATCTAGAGCAGATATGTATTGGCAGAGTTATCTAGGGCAGTTGATTGTTCATATTTGATCTATAAGGATGCAAACATGATATCCACCTGAGGATACCTCTTTAAAATAATGTGTACTCTTTGAACATCTTAGAGGCAGCATAGCAAAATATGTAAGACATTCCGAGTAACTGTAGGAACATATCTTGGATAACTGTTGGGGCTCAAACTAAGATTCAAATCCCAACCCCATCATTTACTTGACCTTTCTGCAGTGAATGTCTTGCTCTTTCTACAGGAGACCAGAAGTCTTGGCTGAGCAACTTCTGGGATTACCTGTGGGACCTCATCATGAGCTCCATACCTCCAGCAGCCATTTTTGCTTTTCTTATCACCATAGCACTAATGGGGACCCTCTGTTGCCTAACGTAAGATACCGTAGGAATGAGAAGAGGGGAGAACTTTAGGGGTGGGGTACAGAAACACTTAGGTTCCCTAACAGCTGCACATTTGTAATTAAGGGACAGTTTTAAGGAAAAAGATTTGGGGAACAAAACTTGATTTAACTCCTAATTTTCTTTCCTTGGCTAAGTAACCATGTATAATTGTGTTCTCAGTTGCCTGAAAATTTAACAAAATATTTATGTATATAAATCATATTAAGCCAAGGAGATTCCCAAGGAAAAAGATATAGTTAAACTAAATTTGTTAATTGAACCAGTATTTACCAAGAAATGACCATTTGTCCATTTCTGTCTGACTTGGTTGCTAGAAAGAGAAATAAGACACATAATTCCTTTGATGAAAGGAACTAAATTAATCCAACAGAAAAAAATTTAAAAATTCTAAATGTTACAGAAATAAAGGAAGACTCTCAATAATACTCCTTGATTTTTATTGCATTTCACAGTAAGGATTGCAAATATCCTCTATGCTCATCTCTACACTAGCTTATTGCCTGAGGCAATCAGCATGGAAACCTGGATAATCTCCAAGTACTGTAGAGGCAGAGGAATGACTGGCACTAAGAATACAAAAATATACATACAAGGAAATTTTAGTATTGTTTATAATATTGAAAAAAGTGGAGACAACTTAAATGTCTGTTATTCTAGGGATGGATAAAAAAAAACCACTGTGCATTTATACTATGAGTATTATATAGTCATAAAATGTTTATGTAGAGAATGATTATGTGGTCACATTTATGGAATGATATTGAATGGAAAACAGATTATAATAGAGGATATGCAGTTTAATCCAATTTGTAATTTAAAACTAAACATACAGGACTTGATCAAAGTATTAGACATTTTATCTCCATGTGATAGTGAATAGATTGTTTCAATTATTGTTATTTTCATTTTTATCATTTTATCTGAACTTGCAATCTTTCTGTAACTATATTGTTTGATCAGTACATTTTAAAAATCTTACTTTTAAATGAAAGAAGAAAAACTATCTGATCATACTTCTCTATCACTACGTCCAATCCCACTGTATTAGAAACACACTCTTACTGTTTTCTCAAGTCATCAAAGCACTAATTTGTATGAAATAATTTAAAAAAAAATTTTTAGTCACCAGTGCACCTTTATTTATTTATTTCTATGTGGTGCTGAGGATGAAACCCAGTGCCTCACACATGCCAGTCAAGAACTCTACTACTGAGCTATAACACCAGCCCCTGTATGAAATAATTTGATTCATATTAAAAGAAGCAACTGTCTAAAAATTCAGTCTTGGAAAAATCACATGGTAATTCCATGCAGACCAAGAGAGTGTACAGGACTGTACACTTACTTCAGCATTTACCATTTTATCTTTTGTCAGTATTCTTATAGGTGAACCAGTCCACTGAAGAACTAGAAGACTGATTAGGGCAATTGTGGTGTTTGGTTTTCCACATTTCAAGACAATGGAAAATGTGTTGTTTGCTTAAAATGATGTTAAAATTAAATTATTAAATTATATTCTGTCTTAAATTGTCTTTGCCTTAATTTTTCTTTCAAAAAAATACAATACTCTTATTACTGTTTTTATTATAAAAGTAGTATCTATTGCAAATGTAAACATTTTTATTTGCTCTAAGAATTCTAAGAACTTTGATAGTATAATATAAATCTCTCCAAGACAGTAAAAAGAGGCAGGATTTCCCAAACTAATTTGAATGTGGAATTTTTTAATGTAATGAATCTAATATGTCATTTAATCATGTCCCATGTAATAATTATTTAAGGGCTGGAGATGTGGCTTAGTGGTAGAATACTTGCCTGGTATGTGTGAGGCCCTGGGTTTCATCCCTAGCACTGTCAAAAATATATATATATAGTGTTTCTATGTAGTCAGTCTTATAAATGTACTTAATAGTTCAAAAATCATTTTGCTTTTCCCTTTTGCTGTTCTGAGTTTGAAATTATTTATCCCAGGACACTTATTAAACATCTGTTGTGAGCCAGGCCCTTATTCTGCACAGGTTACAAAACAGTCAACAATAACCTTTTTTTATGTATGTCCTGTCTGAGTGCAGGGCAGAGTAGCACCTGTGGACTATTGGAATGATTTGGGCTTTTCAGTAGGGTGATAGGGGAGCCAAAAGGAGGTTTAGATCAGAGTAAGGATGCAATTTGTCACATGTTTTAAAAGGGGCATGTTATCTGCCATGTTAACAATATAAGGGGGCAAGGACACGGAAGATAAGGTAGGGAAAGGCAGAGTACCACTGGGGCTGGGGATGTGGCTCAAGAGGTAGCGTGCTCGCCTGGCATGCGTGTGGCCCGGGTTCGATTTCTTACTGATTTTCTGTTTGCACAATCTGTTCATTTGGGAGAGTATGGTGTTGAAGTCTTTTAATATTGTATTGCTGTTTATTTGTCCTATAATTCTAGTAATATTTGATTTATACATTTAGGTGCTCTAATGTAAAATTTACAATTTTCATGTCCTCTTTATTAATCGACTCCTTTAGCATTATATAATGATATTTATTGCTTTTGCAATAGCTTTTGACTTGAAATCTATTTCATTAGATATAACTATTGCCTCACATACTCTCTTGGTTGCCATTTGCATGGTGTATGCTGAAGGTAGATCTTTTTTTATTAAAGCAATACAGTTATACATAGCAGTTGGGTTCATCCTGTCATACATACATGATATTCAATTTCATTTCATGATCCCCCTGTTCCTTCCCATCCTCTCTCCCCTCCCTCCATTCTCCTTCCTCTACTCTGCTAGACTTACTTTCACTCATCTATTTATTTTTGATTGGTTCTCTGTACTTACACATATATGTCGAATTCCCTGTGGTACATTTGTATATGCACATAACATGATTTTTTAAAAGAGAAAAGTAGCTTTTATTTTAGACCCAACAAATGTCAAGCATTTTCATATCTTTATGTTCACACTACAAGATTGTTTTTATAAGCCATGTGTTACGAATACAAACAACTTAAGGCTTATGGTTTAAAATGGTAGTCCAAATATATTTGATAGAAACAAATAAATTGAGATGAACACAGGTATTTGCCTCTAAGACTATATACATATCAACTATGCCATATTTAACATTCTGTTAAATAATATTAAAGTAATGATTGTGAAATGAAAATAAAACAAATTATTATTTTCTCAAAACCATAATGATTATATTCACATAACATGATTTTTTAACAATTCATTCTGCATTACCTTCCCTTTTTTCCCACTTTTTTTTTCTTTTCTAGTGGTGCTGGGGATTGAACCCAGGGCCTTGTGCATGCAAGGCAAGCACTCTACCAACTGAGGTGTATCCCCAGCCCTGCCTCCCCTTTTCTATCCTTCTATTCTAATTCTAGATCTCCTTCTACTATATCACTGATCTTCCCTCTGTTCATATGATATCCTGTTCTTCCCTCCTTTATTTTTTTTAAATTTATTTTTTAGTTGTAGTTGGACACAATACCTTTATTCATTTATTTTTATGTGGTGCTGAGGATCGAACCCAGGGTCTTGTATGTGCAAGGTGAGCACTCTACTGCTGAGCCACAACCCTAGCCCTTCCCTCCTTTAATTTTACTGTAGCTTCCACATATGAGAGAAAGCATTCAACCGTTGAATTTCTGAGCCTGGCTTATTTCACTTAGCATGATAACCTTCAGTCCCATCCATTTACAAGCAAATTCCATAATTTCATTCTTTATAGTCTAGTAGAGCTCTGTGGTGTATATAATGGCAGTTTCTTAAATCATTAATCTATTGACAGACATCTGAGTTGATTCCATAATTTAGCTATTGTGAATTGTGATGCTATAAACATTGAGATGGCTGTATTGATATAGTATGATGATTTCAGTTCATTTGGAAAAATACCAAGGAATGGAATAGCTGAACCATATGGTGATTTTATGCCTAGTTTTTTGAGGAATTTCTACACTGCTTTCCAGAGTGCTTGTGCTAGTCTGCAGTTCCACCAGCAATATACAAGTGTACCTTTTCTCCCACATCCTCACCAGCATTTATTATTGTTTGTATTCTTTATCATTGCCATTATAACTATAGTGAGATGAAATCTCAATTTAGTTTTGACTTGCATTTCCATAATTGTTAAGGATGTTGAACATTTTTAATGTATTTGTTGGCTATTTGTGTTTGTTTTCACTAGTTTCTGTTTATTACTTTTGTTCATATATTGATTGGGTTATTTGTTTTTTTGGTGTTGAGTTTTTTGAGTTCTTTATATATTCTGGATATTAATCACCTGTCAGAGGAACAGCTAGTAAAGATCTTCCATTCTTTAGGCTCTCTTCACATTCTTGTCTTCTTTGCTTGCAAAACCTTGTTAATTTGATGCTGTCCCACTTATATATTCTTGGTTTTATTTCTTCCACCTAAGGGGTCTTATTAAGGAAGTCAAAGCCAGAAACAATATGATAAAGTGTTGACCTATGTTCTCTTCTAGCAGTTGCAAGGTTTGTGGTCTAATTTCTAAGTCTTTGATCCATTTCGACTT